CCGAGTCAGTTATCGACCCTTTCGGCCTCCAGTCTAGCCACCATCACTGCTCAACGAGGGCACGCGATCGTTCGCCCCTGTTCGATTATCACCATGGCCGAACGCATTTTGATGAACGAATATAAGACGCTATCGCAAGAGCCCTGGGTAAATATTGATGTACGTATATCTTCCTAAATACCACTTTAATTTTGGTCATACGTCGAAAACCATCGCATCATGTGTCCCACCGCAAACCACACTCAAGTCGCATCAAGAATGCTGACCGATATCCCTTTCCAGGTTGACGAGCAGAATCTCCTACACTGGACGATCGGGTTAATCGTTCTAAACCCGGATTCTTTATACTATGGCGGCTACTTCAAAGCGATCATGAAATTTCCTAGTAACTACCCTTACTCCCCACCAGGTGAGTTCACGAACGTCCCTCCCGATACAACACGCCCGCCCCCTCCATCACACCACCCCACCCCTTTTCTCCCACCCTGGAAATGTGGCAACAATGCAGAAAGGCAGAACAGCATAACTGACATACAATCTCAATTTCCAGAATTTCGTTTTGTCCGCCCCCTCTACCACCCGAACATCTACAAAGACGGCAAGCTCTGCATATCCATTCTCCACGCCCCAGGCGAGGATGAAATGTCCGGCGAATTAGCCTCAGAGCGATGGTCACCAGCCCAACGAGTCGAATCCGTACTCATCTCCATTCTCTCCCTCCTCGACGATGCCGAGATCTCCTCCCCCGCCAATGTCGACGCCTCTGTCATGCTACGCAAGAGCCCCGACGAATACAAATCGATCGTGAAAAAACACGTGGAGGAGTCGAAGAACGACATTCCCGAGGGATTCGTCATGCCCACCCACGAATCCACCACATCAGTCTCTAAACCCGTGGAGAAGGACGACTCCGACTTCTGGGCTGAGAGCGATGTGGACGACGACGTCTTCGGCGGTAGCGACTCCGACGAGGACCTTGATGTTTATGACGATGACGAAGACCAGGATTCCGGCAGTGACGAAGAAGAAGAAGACGACCACAAGGCTACTTGATTCATTCAACCTATCAAGTTATAAAAGAAAGCCAAATCATGTCGCCACCCCTCTTTCACTACCTATATATTCGGCGCTTGGAGTTCCTACTACTCACTACTTACATAGTTTTCCCCCTTTTATTATATTTCATCGTGGCATAGCGCAGGCGCGGCATTAAGAGGTGGTATACAGCACAAACAATCAATTTGAGAACATCAACTCCATTTATCTATATTAGCATGCGTTGGAGGTTCTTTGTATGCTTTTACTACTATCACATATCTGTCTATTCTAAATAAGAAGCTGTTATAGATGTTTTTATATTATTCTTTTACTTACTCTGGTCTTCTCATTCCCTGAAAGATTGTGCTGTGGCTATTCGTAGGAGTAGGACTTTCGGCACAGCTCGTTTCGGTATGACCCCGTAGCGTGACCAATGATGTCATTAGTTGCTTGTCATGGGATTGATTGCATCTCCAATAAGGGATACGAGAGATAGAGAATAGACGGATAGCATGGCTTGAAGATCACTTTCTTAGGGATAAGCTCCGTTGTAGACTACTACTATATCCACATACCGCAATGTAAAGCAATTTCATACATTAAATGCCGTAATGTGGGTTTAGACTGATAATGTCTACTCCCTCACCTTTCTCTTCTATTAAGCGGTGTGCAGATCTCTTAGATAACCCAGTGAGATTGTCAGTCTGTTATAGAGCCAGAACATTCTAAGTGAGGTAACAAAACCTTCTTTGCAGACATGTATACTACCATAAAAATGAACCAAACAGATAAGCAGGGGCGGAGTGATACAGCCGATACAGTCAATGCATCGGCGTCTTCGAGACCAAACACAATAAAAAGAGACCAGCGCCAAAATGTCCGATCAACCATCCCATACCTCAAAAAAGCCAAAATCTTCCGATCTACGTCTGGAAAGCACGAGTTCTGATCTATGCGACAACGGCATCCTGAATCTCGCTGTAGATGGCACCAAGCTCCTCGGTGAGCAGCTCTTCGGCCTTGTGAACCAGACCCTCAATGCGGTCCTCGATGCGGTTCTTGGCAGAGGAGACCTTGTAGCCACCGCTGCCAACAATGTCGGTGTAGTTCTCGGAACCACCACCGTTCCAGGCAAGGAGCTGAAATTCTACGTTAGCTTGTTTTTTCTCATAATTATCAAAAGCGGCAGGACTTACGTTGGGGGTGTTGGAGGGAATGTCAGTAAGAGCGCCCTCGGTGGCAATAGCGATGATGTCCTTCTTCAGCTTAGCAGGAGTAAGCTCCTCGACAGCGAAGGCAGAGTCCGAGGAGGGCTGGAGGGAGACAAAGTAGGCAAGCAGGCCAGCAATGTGAGGAGAGGCCATGGAAGTGCCAGAGATGATGTTGGTGGCGTAGTTGCTGCCAATCCAGGTGGACAGGATGTTGAGACCAGGAGCGAAGATGTCAGTGCACTCTCCGTAGTTGGAGAAGTAGGCACGCTCATCAGAAAGAGTCGAGGCACCAACAGTGATGGCCTTCTCAGCAGCAGCAGGAGAGTAGTTGCAAGCATCAGCGTTGTCGTTACCCGCAGCAACGGCGAAGTGAAGACCAGCCTCAACACCAGCGTTAACAGCATCCTCAAGGGTCTTGGACTTGCCACCACCGAGACTCATGTTGGCAACGCTGCCCTTGAATCCCTTGACCTTGCCGTTCTTAGCATCCTTGGCCTTCTTGATGTGAGCCTGGACGGCATACTCGACACCAGAAACGACATCGGACATGGTGCCAGAGCCGCTCGACCGGAGGACCTTGACGGCATAGAGGTTGGCCTTCTTGGCAACACCATACTTCTTACCAGCCATGGTTCCGGAGCAGTGAGTTCCGTGACCATTGCCATCGAGATCTTCGTCGTTGGTAGGGATTGTCTTGCCCCAAGTGGCACGGCCCTCAAAGTCAACGTGGTCAACGTTGATACCAGTGTCAATGGTGTAGGCGTCAACACCCTCACCACCCTCGGAGGCATAGAGGTACTTGTTGAAGTTGCCGAAGGTCAGGCTATCACGGTGAGAGATACGAGCCAGACCCCAGGGGGCGTTCTTTTCGGTGGCCCCTTCCATAGTGTGAACTTCGGAGTCCCGCTCGATGTAGTCGACCTACATTGACCGAGGTTAGCAGCTTATCTTCTTAAGAGATAACGAAGTATGCTTAGATAGGGGTGTAACTCACATCGGGGTGTCTGCGGACTTGCTCGATGACATCTTCGTGGAAGTGACCAGAGTAGCCGATCAGAGAACCAGCAATGTCAAAGGTATTCTTGAGACCCAGGTAGGCTTCGTCACCGAGGCCGAAGAGCGACCGCTTCTTCAGCTCAGTCCGCTCGCTCTGAGAGTCATGGATGTCCTGCACCCAGCTGTGGTGAGCCGAAGCCAGCTCGGAAGTGACGTGCTTCTTGAAAACGACGATGTAGGAGTCGGGAACCTCCTTCGCGTTGGTGGCAGACAAGATGGGGGCAGCTTCATTATGGATGGAGTCAACGAAGACGGGCGACGCAGCCGTCAGCAACGGGAGGAGGGAAAGGCCGAGGATGCCCTTCATGATGGATAGCTTTAGAATGAAACCCACAGCAGCCCGGTGGAAAAAGGAGGGTGAGTAGGGAGTGTACAAGAGATTGAAAGGAAGTGAGAGATGAGAAAGATGGAAATAGGCAAGATAAAGATGGAGGAGAGAGGGAGAGGGAGAGAAGAAGGGGAGGTTGGAGATGAAGAGAGGAGAGGAGGACAGATGGATGGCGGACGGTATTCAGCAAGAGGCAAGGGCAGCAGGTGATGATGCAACCGGCATACGGTAATTTACGCCATACGCCCGGATGACACAGCAGAATCACTGGTTGTCGATCGTCCCCGATTAGCGCGGTCGGAGAAACTGGGACCTGGGGTAGACTCGACAGTCCACCGACAAGGAAAGCTGTGTGAATGGATCCAGGTTGGCGCGATGTACCCATATTCGGGTCTCTCTCTCTTCCCCTCTTGGCAGTTTGCCCCCCATCTCCCCTCCTTGTTGGACTGACAGATTGTAGCGTGTTCCCGGAAGTTGAGTACCTGAGACCCGAGAACCATTTGCTACCACTACTTCACAGTATGCGGGCAATACTACCTACGAAAAACGAATACAGTTTTCTATGTCGCTACGTAAGCAGGAGACTACAAGGTACCCGCAGACGATAAGGGACCGGATCCTGCTCCAAAATAATGAGGCGACTAGGGCGCAGCCTGCATTTCCTGCGGTATGGCAGTTGTAAATGTTCCCTTATAAAGCAAGATCGTGGCGGTGACTCAATGTACCTAGCAAACTAACTGACTAGTTCGTTAGTCAAAGGAGTAGGGCGTTTCCCGATGGAGGAGTGCGTAGCTATAGGTCTCTAAGCATCTCTGTTCATGTAACTAGCCATGCTGCTTACCGCATGTCATGGCAACCCGGTCTTTGAACACGGGAGAAGAGCTTCCCGCATCCTCCGCAACTAGCATGGGATAGCTCTCTTTTTCGCGAATCAAATGACCCTGCATACATGTATAGGAGCTCCCCTTCGATGTCTGACTGACTGTACTGCAGGTACCTGGTATGTTAAACCTGCCACTGAGCAGCAGCGTGGTCGGTCCCCAGGCAACGCCGAGTCGCGTGCTCAAGCCAACCATGGGTTTGCTCGGCTGACTCCTCCTGAACCAGGAAAGATCGGTTGCGTAGGTGGTTAGGTAAGGCCTAGGGACGGTAACTGATACCAGATATTACCGCCCGCCCAAATACATTACGGCTCCTTTCAAGGTCAGAGCTCCGTTAGATAAGGCGCCCTCTTATCAAGGCAGCCATCGGGCCAATCATGCTCCTTCATCCGATGATCGTCTTTGTCGCCTGGCGCTTACCGAGGTTGGCTTAGAAGCACTCCATGGATGGGAGTGATGGAGAAGACCCGGTTAAACTACCTAATTTTATGGAACTTCTACACGCCACTTTGTCTGTAAATGTGAGAAATGTCTGGGTTGAATGCCGATCATAAACTCTATATCAACAGGCGGTGTCAGACTTACGACGTTCAGTGGCTTGCTCACTTCAACCTGACTTCTGTTCCTTGTAGTAGACGATGGATATAAACGCGACTTGGAAGACATATCACCCAGCTTGGTAGGTAAGTAGACCTTGGGCCTGCGATATCGGCCTCTCCGGTGGAAGTCTTGGGCTGACTGTGGGTTAGTAGTCTTTGTCATACACGTGAAGGCTCAAGTGGCATTGCTTCAGGTCACATTTCGAGAAACAACAGCATTCTTCAGTCCTGGAAAAAGTCAATAACCATGGAAAATCTCGGACCATTCTTGTTCATATGAAGAGTCGGCATTTGCGCCACAAGAAACACCGCGCGGCATTTGACTCCACGGCTTAAATTTTCACGCCGAGGAAGAAGGGCAGTAAATAGATGTATCCGACTGCAAGAGCGATCTCGGTGTACTCCGTAGGCATTGTGTTGATCCCAAGGTTATCAGAGTGGCGTTGTCTCATGCATCTGGCGAGCTCGCAGCTCAGCGGTCAGGTTGTATGTGTTGAATATCTCTTGACGGTACTTGATATGAGACAGAGAGTGGTCGAGCTCTTTCGTGTAGGGGTCTTTCCAACCGTACAATATCGCCAGGAAGCTTTCAAGCCGCCTTGTTTTCTCCGTTGTTCTTGATGTGATTATTGCTTTTGTTGCTTATGTGCGTCATATTGCCACAAGAACAACCATAGTTTCAGACTGAAGCAGATTGGCTGAAATTCAATCTGGTCGTAGATCAGTTGTGCCCACGTTTAGCTTGATCGAGTGATGGACAATAAGCTTGGAACCCTGCTATCTAGTCCTCTGAGTGTAGGCAATGATTAATGCTGTTGCTAGGGGGAAATTGTTGTAGCTTCTGTACCAATTCCCAGTACTTGCCGCAAATTCTGCTGATATACAAGAACTGCTTGAAGTGTCATTGCAATCGTCTTACTACCTAATATATGTAGTTAGATAGCTGCAATGATTCAGGACGGTAAAGTATTCTTGTCTTCCAGAGGTGTGGTGCGGAGGTATCAGTAACATATAGAGCTCTGACTGAGTACGCCCGCTTAGACTTCCTCACGTTACTAGTATACTGTTAGTACTTGATAGACAGATAGTATACTACACTGCTACTAGCACTCCTGTGATATAATAATGGAACATATATCCATACTAGTGCCTATTCGAGAGAGCAATGCAAATCCGAATGAGTATTTGCTCTGCCAGCTATGAACTGGTGAATAACAATTCAGAGGTCAGTGTTTCAGCCTAGTAGTAAGCTGTAGTACTTGTCTACTAAGTTAGGAGTATCTAGGCATCAGTTCCGAACATGATCATACTGGGCAGGGAAATCACATCTAACGCTGGTACCTGCTTTCAATGAAATTTCCCTAGTGAGAGATTGGGGAATGTTGGCTGCCAACATATATAGTAATCAAACACCGCAGGTATCAGTTGAGCTAACATTTCGCCGCAGAGTATCAAACCCCGACAAACAGTGAAGATGGGACATGGTGTCTACTATTGCCCTGTTTTAAAAGCAGTCCAATTGGACTACAAATAACTTCAAAGCCATAAGAAAAGCCAAATTCATCCACTTAAGCACTCCTGGCACCAATTCTTGTGGGGCTAAGACATGACAATGGCCCGGTCCAGCCGAAGAGCGAAGACAGGCTAATCGACCGGCCGCTGCCTTCCGGTCGGGAAAGAGGGAGAGAGAAAGTTAGAGCAGCACTGCCCACTTGCCCAGGACAGGACAGCTGAGCTGAGTGAGAGCCTGAGAAGGACCATTCCGTCACTGTCCAATTGCACGCGGCGGGAAAAGCAAAGTCGCGCCCGTCGACTCAGACGGAACAAACTGACTCCCCCGAAACGATCCCGTACCCTCCCCCCCGCTAACGATGGTTTGGTACCACCGCCGCCAGTGACGTTGGCCGTAGCACTATCTCATCGGACTCGAAACATTCTTTTTCCTCAAGTGCGGAAAGAGCTCGACGTGCGGCTTAGGACTCCGTGCGTCTTCTAGGAATTACCTAGCCTATATGGTGGATCTTGACTGGGACTCTCGCTCCTTCAAACCCTCGCCGACACACAATTGCTGATCCTTTGGAGTGCGCTATCCTTGCTTCCCCTCCTACTCCTCCTCTCCTCCCACTTTGGCGGGTTTATGTCAGAACAACTGTGCGTGGATTGATTCCGTCCGCTAAAGCTCCCCCAACCATCACAACTACCAATGCAGACCGTCTCCATTATTACGCCAAGTGCAGGTTCATGGTGTCTGATGGTCGCTTGCCGTCAGATAGGTAGCCGGGGATAAGACTCTCAGCGGCGCGATGAACCAGCCCACCTCCCTTCGCTCGCCGTCCCCTTCTTCGTCGATCGACCAGCCCGCCGTTGAACTGACCCCCGTTGTTGAGAAGCTCAAGGTCATCTGCGGCGAACATGACATCGACCCCTCACTAGCTGCGACAGCAACCGAGTGCTTACTCCGACTTCGTCATACCTTTATCGACAGTGACCATCCTCGCGAAGCGAAAGAGGACTTTCGACATCTACATGGCTTTCAGACGCTGCTGGATCTGCTTCAGAAAGTCACAGAATGCTATACCCCGGATCGATTAGAGAAGGAAGAGAGAAAATGTCTCCTGGCCCTTTTTAAGGATACATTGGCGGTTCTGGCAGAGGCGTTAAGGGATCATCATGGGAATAAGAGATATTTTGCGGCTCGGGTACCCGGAGGAGGGAGTGCGGCTCTAGAGGAAGCTCTTGCACTTCTAGCTCAAAAGGTGGACTGCGTGCAGGGAGACATAGAACAATTCTATGGTGGGATTTTGACAGCGATCCTTTGCCAGGAAACCGTCGCCAGTATATTCACAACGTTGGACTCCAAATTTCGATCGGCTCCAGTGCTACTTCCCAGTGACCTCAAGGCGGAGGTTGATCGATGCGTAGGAACGTCAGAGACCATCGAAGTATCGGATATCTTGGGGCCTTTCATTCGAGTATGGTTGTCCCGGACTTCATCTTCATCGTCAGAACACCGTCTCCTTCGGTTAGCTGTACCGGCATGTCTTTGTCAACTTGCCCTGCATTCCCAGAGAAACATCACCATAATGCATGCTACAGGTGTGTTATCGTGGATCCTTCCACTCCTGGTCAGCGATGAGCGTCTGGAACAGGAAAAGCTATTATACCGGGAGCTCGCGCGGCTGCTTTGTACCCAGGGGATAAGCAATCTGGAGGACGCAGTTTTCCTCTACCAAAAAGCCCACAGTTGCCCAAAGGTCTCGCGCTTGCTGGTTGATGTTCTGAAGGCCTCTAAAGAACCCGCATCCATACAATTTGATCTCTCCCTGCATGGGTACTGTTCCTTGGAGTTTTCTACTCTGGGGCGCTCGTTCCCCCCCGCAACTTCCTCTGGGTACACACTTTCAGTATGGGCGCGCTTCGACCAATTTGATTCAAACACACATACCACGATATTTGGGGCTTTTGACCCTAGTCAGACATGTTTCCTACTTGCATATCTTGAGAAAGATACCCGGAACTTCATATTGCAGACCTCGATACGAGGGTCGCGCCCCAGTGTCAGATTTAAATCCATCGTTTTCGAACCTGGTCGATGGTATCATATCTGTGTTGTCCACAAGAAGCCCAGACCGCCGTCGTATTCCCGCGCCTCTTTGTTCATAGATGGCGAGTTTGTCGAGCAGCTGAAGATAGAATATCCGTGTATGCCTGCTGCAATTGCTCCCAACCGATCTGCTAGGGTCCAGGCATTTTTTGGCACCCCTCAGGACCTGGCTATGAGGCTGGGGAAGGATGTGTCCATGTCTCGATGGTCACTGGCCAGTGCAATTCTTTTCGAGGAAGCTTATAGCGATGACATGGTTGCCGTCTTTTACAACCTTGGACCCCGCTATCATGGAAACTTTCAAGACTGCCTTGGCTCTTTCCAGACATACAAGGCTTCCGCGGCTCTGAACTTGCGCAATGAACATTTACACCCCGGTAAAGAAGAGCAGTCGGATATCGTTGTTGCTATCCGGCGGAAAGCAAGTACCCTTATCCGCGAGGCTTCCATATTGCTGAACGTTTCGCCTCTCGCGGTGCTAGACGACGACGACAGTAATACCGTGGACGAGTCCCGGCTGGTCAAGTGCTTATCAAAGCAAGCCGCTAAGAATCTACATCAGCTAACCAAGTCCGGAGGAAATGCGATAGTAGTTAATGGAGCTACACCTGCTATCAATGACGCACTGACTCAGGCACACGGCATTGGGGTCTTGACAGGTGACCCAGTAGTTGCGGTACCACGCTCTCTGGATGATGCAGGTTGGCGTATTGGGGGGTGTGCGGCTGTGCATCTGAGCTTGCTCCATGCAGCGGACACTGGGGAGTCGACCTTGCTAGCGGTCGAGGCACTGTACGAGGCAGTGCAAGACAACTGGAGGAATAGCGAGGCAATGGAAAAGGATAATGGATACGGAATCCTTGCGGTTTTGTTGCGCGAAAAGCTTGGTTTGCCGTCGGGAGTTGCTCCCACAACGTCGAAGACGCCGAGCGTTTGTGCCAGCTACGAGGAACGGTCTGCATTAGCTCTGGCACTTCTCCGCTTGACGTTGAAATTTGTTGGGTACGACTTTGACCAGCCTAACCGCTCCATTATTACAAATCCGTTGGCGTACAGGGTCCTACTCGTCGACCTAGAAGTATGGAGAGCTGGTGAGGCAGCTCTCCTCGAGTTGTATTACTCTCAGTTTTGTATATTTGCCAGTGAAAGTAAATTTCGTCGGTTCAATGCAAAGCGACTTGCTCGCATGCGTGAGTCTTCCGGAACAATCTCCTTACGACTCGGTTATGCTGATGATCAATAGGCGTCAACAAGAAGTTACTCGAGGCCCTCAAGGTAGAGGAGTGTACCCCCGAAGCCTTGCGTCTTTACACTGCCGCTTTTGGATCCCTCATGGAGAGCAGCCTGTCGGCGGATTTGCTTCGATCATTATCTCTCTTTATTACCTACGCTCTCCATAAGCCGAAGGAGTCAAGTAAGCTACAGAAGAAGAAGAGCATGAGATTTAACGCAGGCATGCGGCAGCGAGCGACTTCTGACGCGAAAGCTAAGTACGTGTCGAGCACTGTGATTGCCACGGAAATGCTTCGGATGTATTGTTCGTTACTTTGCAATGCACATGATCTTGGCCCCATAAAGAAGTTCGCCAAGGCTGTGACTAACAAGGTCGGGTCTAATTCTCTCCTCACTAATAGGAAATGATTACTGACTTCACTATAGTGGCTTCTATATCTATTGTGTGAAGACGAACCGGAGATTGTAATTCTGGCGACAAAAATCATAGCTCGTTTGTTGGTCACTCATGGCGGCAACTATGACAAGAAGTTCACGGAGAAAACAGGGGGCTATATTATCATGCGGCATTGCTTG